AGTTATATCCGTTAACAATACACGAAGCACTAAATTATCATTTATTTGTCAGTTGCAAGTGGCTGCAGCCGGAGGTGGTATGTCTATAGTTGTTGCTTTCGTTCCCAAAATAATCCTAACACGTTTCGCCGGGGGCGAGAACTCCAATTCATTTCTGTATAAATGTTTCAGACGTTTCTCTCTACGTCTGTCTTTTGATTTGTGCCTCTTTTTCCTATGAGAATTGTACCTAATATAATCTACTAAACCATCGTTATCCACGCCTTCGACACGTAAAACTTCGTATTCTGGTTCGTAACTGTCTTCACTAAGACTTGTACCAGATTCGATGACTTCATCAAGTACCGGACTACGTTTTTTCTTAAGGGTTAACTTTAATGGTGCTATTTTTTCTGGGGTTTTCTCGAGAACGTACATACGTTCTGATACATCTTGTAACCGTATTTGGCAGGATTCTTCAGGTACTTTGTTTTCCCAGGAAGAGCTGCTTTCGCTTTTGGAATCTGTGCTGCATTTGGAAAACCCACGAACGTTTGTGAATTCTTTTAAAGAGTTGTTTTCGTTATCATTGAACTCGTAAACATCATTAGAATTTTCTAACACTAATTTTGTGTTGGAATTTCTTAACGTTGCGGTCCTGGTTGTAGGTTTGGTTTCAACATTTGTATTAACTATATTTAATTTAGCGTCTTTTTCGGACGACTCTGATTTTGTTCTAGTATTGCCATTGACTTTAGCTTTAACCTTTGCGTCTAATACTTCATTCATAATTTTACCTTCGGTTTTACTATCAGGCTTAGAGTCCTTTAACCCGTTAACTTCTAAATTGCTATCTATACTAGGACCTATCAGTTTATTGCTATTAACTTTATCTTTTATTAAATTATCTAAATTACTTTCAGTAAGTCTTTTGTGATTTCTCAAAGTTATGCCTTGTGTCATTATATCATTGCACACGTTACTACTTTCATGACTTTCATTAAAAGCAATATCCCTATTTATGCCATCGCTGACAATATCATGATCACTCATAACGCTCCCGGAGCAACTACTAGCATCATCCAACAAACCACCTTGTGTGGTTTTCGAAGAACTCAATCGCATAGCTTTTAAGACTTCTCTTCGTTGCAACCGAGTTGCCCGGGAACTACAATTATTTTCATTGGGTTCTAATTTAGTTTCCACGGGTAACGAAGGTGGTTTATGTCTATTGTTTCTAGTGTTTCTAGTATTTTTATCCGTGGAGGACGCTGATGATTCTCTACTACTAGCACCAGCAGCGTCCACGTTATCTTTTGTACCATTGACGTCAGAAAATTTACAACCCTGAGCAATTAACAACTCCGCATCGTATTTAGTCAAACCTTTCCTGCGGAGCTCTTTCATGCTCAAAGGGGTAACCGGAGCTACGATTTTATCACTTGCGGGCTTAGTTTCGGAGGTAACAGAATTTTTTTGTTTGCTTTTAGTTCTATTAATCCTGTTATCAGTATCCCTAAGACGGTAACCCGAAATTTGTTCCTCGGTTTTGGATTTGGTAAACGCACCGGTACCGCGTCGCTCGCACGTCTCGCACTCGCAATAATAGTTTCCGTCCCCGAAAAAATCTTCGCCGTAAAAACAAGTTATCTCTTCACCTACTTCGATGTCCCTAAGAACTTTAACACAGGCCGTATCGCGACCAGTGGCCACGAATTTACAATTCGCTCTGCAATCGTGGTTTATATACGCGGCCGGACCGAGCCACAATTGGGCACAATTCTTACGACAACTGTACATTACGGAAAAATCATTTTTACCAGGTGATAATAAGGCTGCTTCCTCTTCTTCGGTCAGTTCAGCTATGCAACCTACGAGGCATTCGATTTTTTCGTTCTTGTACCATTTGCGAGTGGCGGATATCTTGGCTCCTTTTTGTCCTTCCAGGGAATATCGGTAGCAGGGCTCTATTACAAAACCGGACTCGCTATCGAAAACTCTCAGGTAACGGTAAACCTAAAAAAGACAAATTGAAAACTTATAACTAGCTGTAAGTGGAATTCTGTCTTAAGGCAATTAAGGCATCGTGCCTTAAGGCAAATTGCTGGAACTTCCCGTACCAAAAATTATTATTTTTTTAAAAACGATTAACATTTTTGAACAAATTTTACTTCGAAAAAATAAGATTTTTGAGAAACTATAGATTGGACAAAAAATTACTTTTTTTTGAAATTTTTTTTAAAAAAAAAAAATAATAAATTTTTTTTTTTTTTTGAAAAAATATTTTTTTTCTTTATCTTGACATATTGTGAAAGATCTGAACTTTTCTTCAAAGCAATCGTACTGCTTTAACTGCATAGGGACAAAAATATAAAGCGCGTAAGCGCCGCGTCGCTGTCTAACGCTTAAGCATTGGTACGGAACCCATAGGAATGTTAACAAAATGTATACTTATTGTTAAAATCTCTATAAAATATCTGATAATTTGATGTGCATATGTCTAATGATCATTTTTGACCGCCAAATGGCTCATTTTTTTACTTTTTCCTCCATATCTCCGAAACCGCTAGACCTACCTTCATGAAAATTTTATCGATTCTTCATCTTGTCAATACAAGTGAAATGTTTTTTGAATTATTCAAATCGGATGCTCCGTTCTCTTAAAAACTGAGTTACCGTTTTCGGCACTTTTTGCCCCGTATCTTCGGGACGGCTAGACCTGCCTTCGCCAAAAACTAATCAGCACGTCTCCTTATCAATACGAATCGAATGTTTTTTGAATTATTCAAATCGGTTGATCCGTGTTCCCGAAATCGTCGACGAAAATTTGTATCCGCACATACATACACACACGCACATACATACATACATACATACACACACACACACACACACATACATCCATTTTTTCTAAGGTATGCCAAAATGTTCAGAAACCTCTGAAACGTAAAGATATATAAAAATTTTCATTTTCGATTTTTTTGCGATTACTATAACTTGCCCCACGGGAAGTTAATTAGACATATTGACATTAAAAAACTCTCAGGTAACGGTAAACCTGACAAATATATATAGAAATAAAATTTAAAAAAAATAATTAGACATATTGACATTAAATAAAATCTATCTCTATCTATCGAAAACTCTCAGGTAACTGTAAACCTGACATAAATATGAAACTAGTGGTGCATGGCATCGTGCCTGAAAGCAAATTGCTGGAACTTCGCGTACCAAATTGAAATTTTGAAAATCTTATCATTTTCGATATTAAAATAGCATTTTTTTTCGAAGTATAAAACAAATTTAAGGGGGTCTTCCTATGTGACGGCCTGTTTTTTAGGGATATTTTAGATTTTTTTTTCTACGACCAGTAAATAGTTAGAGCTTCAAGTTTTTTATCATTTATTAATACATATTTGGACAGTATAAATATAAAATTTCAGCTAAAAAAATTTAGTCCAACTAGAGTTACAGCGCTCTAAA